CCCTCGATTCAATCTCCAACTCCAAAAAAAAAAAAAAAAAATTTTTTTTTTTTAAGTAAACTTTCAACTTATTTAAATCAAAGCCTGTCTTCTGAGTGAAATGATATTTCCATTTTCTCTGTTCCCATGATGTCCCAGGACCTTTAGGCATTACAATACCAAGTCACTAAATACTTGGGTCATAAACCTGGGACCAGTTTCTTCTTGAATCCAAAATATATTTTTGTGGGCAGTATATTTTGCCCACAAAATCTTTTGGCCCTTCTTGTTTTCTTTCTTTCTTTCTTTCTTTTTTTTTTTTTAATATTTTTTAGCTGGACACAATACCTTTATTTTATTTATTTCATTTTATGTGGTACTGAGGATCAAACCCAGGGCCTCGCATGTGCTAGGCCAGCGCTCTCCCGCTGAGCCACAACCCCAGCCCCCTTCTTGTTTTTTTAATATTTATTTTTTAGTTGCAGTTGGACACAATACCTTTATTTTACTTATTTATTTTTATGTAGTGCTGAGGATCGAACCCAGGGTCTCGAATGTGCGAGGTGAAGCCCCTAGGCCCTTCTTTGGTAGTAAATTCCATTTCGATGATTGGGGGTGGGAGTGGGGGAGATGTTGTTTTAGTTTGCTAGGGCTACTGAACAAAGCACCATAGAGTGGGTGGCTTAAGCAACAGAATTTTATTTTCTCTCAGTTCTGGAGGCTGGATGTCCAAGGTCAAATTAGCAGCACTAATTTCTTCTAGAGCCTCTCTCCTGGATAATCTACTCTTTGTGGCTTCACATAGTCTTCCCTCTGCCAGTGTCAGTGTCAGTGTCCTGATCTCTTCTTGTAAGGACACTAGTCTTACTGCATTGATGACCTCATTTTTACTCAGTAAAGATTGCATCTCCAAACAGTTACATTCTGAGATGCAGAATGAGGGTTTGTTACATTCTGTGGGTTAGGACCTCAACATAGGAATTTGGGGGAACTCAAATTGAGCTATAATTCATGTTTTATGCTAGGAGCTCTTTTCCTTCAGAGAGTGGCTCTTTTGGGCCCACTTACACTTTAGCTTTTTTATTGTGGTCTGTCCCACACCTCTTCCAGGTGAGCTTGCCCACGGCAGAGATCGACTGTAGCCTGGCTGAGTACATTGACATGATCTGTGGTAAGGTTCTCTCTCCTTTCCCAGCCCTTCCTCTGGGTAGCTATATCCTAGGCCTTCTTCAGAAGGGCTTGCTGACTCTGGGAAGATGGCATCTTGACTTACAGCCTTCACTTACGCAGAGTGGCAGCTTCTAGGGGTGTTCAGGCCTATGAGACTTCTTGTTGGGTATTTAATCCACAATCATAGTAATATATCCCATGTGGGAAGGGGTTGGCTATCCTAAACAGAAATGCCCCCTAAGTCCCAGAGTTTGTTTGGTTCTGTTCCTGGGAGTTCTTCTTTGTTTTAGCCATCCTAGACATCCCTGTGTATAAGAGTCGGATTCAGTCCCTCCACCTACTCTTCTCTCTCTACTCGGAATTCAAGAACTCACAGGTGAGATGAGGATCAGGGACTGGACTCAAGCTGTAGTGTGGGGTCTCTGCCAGCCTGGGCCTGCTGCAGTTGTTTCCTGTGGCAGTGGGGGAGTTATTATCTTCATGAGTAAGAGTTGCAGAGAAGGCAGAGGATGGGGAAGTATCAGAGATGGGAATCTCCATGGAACTTGGTGTGCATCTGTGGAGGATATCCGTGCTTCAGGAGAACCAAGTGGCCCAATGAATAGAAGCAGGAAAGAAGTTAAAAAAGGGTGTGGGGGGGGTCACTTTTGAAGGAAGTGGGCAAATTTCTAGCTATTTTTCAAAGATAGCACAAGGTATCTGTTTGTAAGCAGAACTGGAAGAAGATTAGAAGCTTAAAGGGTTTTTAAAGAGGTTAGTTCTTGTGAGAAAATGTAGCAACTAGCATATGCCAAATACTTAACATTCTCTCTCCCCTTTCTTCATAGCATTTTAAAGCTCTTGCTGAAGGCAAGAAAGCATTTACTCCTCCGTCCAACTGCATCTCCCAAGCAGGAGATGTAGCAGAGACACTAACCTTCAACTAAGGAGAGAGGCCTGTCAGCCACCTGCTCTGCCGCTGGGCTCATGGCAGGCATGTGCTGCTACCTGTCTGCCAGAGAGCACTTCACACATTTGCTCTGTCTCAAATTGCCTTCCCAGGAGAGTAACTCTCCTGTGGGGATTTGTTTTAGCCATCCTAGAGTAACCACTGTGGGGATTTGAGTTAGAAAATTGAGATTTCCCCAAAATAAAAGCTGGGAAGAAAGATTAAAAGGTGTTCTTTTGGGGCTAGGGATGAAGTTCTTTCTTTATTCTTAAAGGTAGTTGGCAATGATTTTACAAATAAAATGCTCTGTCAGTTTTGATATAATTCATATTTTTGTTTTTTATCCATGGTTCCTGTTTCATTTCTTCTATTGCCCTTATTATTTCCTATGTGACTAGAATAATGTTGAGGGCTTTAGCCCTCAAGTCTCTCCTCTCTGATCGCCTGTCCTCCTTTAACTTGTTCCTTTTTCTTCCCAAGGCAGGCCACAGAAACTGAATTTCTCTTACCTAAGGCAGATTATGGAAATGTAGTCTTAAATGCTTTGACCTACCTTGGCTGATGGTAGATGTTAAAACATCCATTTCTGAAGATTCTGCCACTTACTCACAAGGAAGGAATACTAAAGAATCTGAAGACAAGCCCTGCTAGGTTTTCCCACCCAGTTTGTTTGCACTGGGTGGCCACCCAATTTTTTTTTTTTTTTTAATGAACCAGGAATTGAATCTAGGGGCACTCAATCACTCAGCCACATCCCCATCCCCTTTATTTTCTGTTTTGAGACAGGGTCTCACTAAGTTGCTTAGGGCCTCACTTAATTGTTGAGGCTGGTCTCAAATCTGTGATCCTCCTGCTTCAGCCTCCGGAGTCATTGGGATTATAGGTGTGTGCCACAGCACCTGCATGATCCTACCCTTTTTGTCTAAATCACTTCCAGCACAATTGTCTATGTTTCACGCATGCCAATGCAATGAAGTCTGCATAAAAACCCAAAAGGACAGGGTTGAGAAAGCTTCCAAATATTGGAACAAATGGAAATTCCTGGAAGGTAGCATGCCTGGAGAGAGCATGGAAGCTCTGCATCTTTTCCTCACCCTTCACCCTTCACCTCTCTTGTCTATATCCTTTGATATGAACTCAAATGCTCCATTAGGGTGGATTTTTAAAAAATATATCTTTATTTATTTATTTATTTTTATGTGGTGCTGAGAATCAAACCCAGTGCCTCACGCATGCCAGGTGAGCGCGCTACCACTTGAGCCATATCCCCAGCCTCTCCATTAGGTTTTTAAGGAATAACCAGATGTCCCTGTTAGAGCTGAGACTTGGCACTCATAAATTCAGTCATTTCTCTTACTCATGATTTTTATGATCTATAATGTCACTGCAAACACTGAATTAGCAGATTCCGATCCATTGTTCCTGATACATACAAAGGTGCATGCTGTATTTTCTCTACTGTGTGACTTAAAGACTTCATTTAAGGGCTAGGGGAAAGGCTAGGTGGTAGAGCACTTGTTTGGCATGCACAAAGCCTTGGGTTCCATCCCCAGCACTACAAAAAAAGTTTGTTTTTTTTTTTTCTATTTTTGACGAGCTGGAAATGTAGCTGAGGAGTGGAGTACTTTCCTAGTATGTGCAAAAGTTCTGGGTTCCATCCCCAATGCCACCAAAGTAGGAAAAAAAAAAGTCAAATGAAATAAATAGAGACATTCATTCAGTTAAGTTTATTGAATTTTACTGTGTTCCAAGCACAGTCCTAGGCAGTAACATGAGAAAAATCACAAAACAAGATAGTAACAAGGAAAAAATATATTCTGTATCTTGGTAATTTCTAGTTATTTCCATGTTGCTTTTCAAAGCATTCTTGGAACATTTGGGGATATGTGGTCTACCCCTAAAGCTTCTGTGCCCACTGTGACCATCTCCTAAACAACAGAGGTTGGGCGGGATCAGTGAATTCCTTCTGATGGAGCAGCCAGGGGCTGGTCACAGCTGGGATCCCACTGGTGGGGGAGGTTTACGCTGAGAGAAAACTCAATCCTGAGGGCTCAGGACACTCACAGTGAATAATAGGAAGGCCAACTTTTGGGAAGCCAAGAGGGCTTTGGGGCCATCTCTTGCCCCCTCACCGAGGGGATGTTCTTAAAGTGCTAACACTGTAAAAAATGATGCATAGCTTCTTGCTATTCTGGGCACCACCACATTTGCTATCCTGGGGACCACTCTCTTCCTTCCCGACTTGTGCTAACACCTGGCACTATATCACTGGAAGCCAGGCCAATGGGGAAGTCTAATGCCCATTGAAGAGGGTCCAATGTATAACCTGTGATGCCCAAGAGGAGGTGGGGCAAAGGAACAGAGAAGGGCAGAGATGTATGCAGCAAAAGGGACTAATTTGTCCTTGGCCAGGGCCCCTGGGCCAGGGGTTGGCTCCTGTGCAAAGGGCAGTTTGGTTCTATGCAGCAGGCAGGGTACAAGATGTTCCTGAGGGAACAGAGCTGCATAGCACAGAAAGGACATCCAGGACATGCAGGGCCTCCCCCATGCCTACTGTACAAGGTGCTAAGGAGTACTGATATGGGGCATGTAGCCACGCTTGGATGCTGGGTGATACCTGAACACACATGGCCAGAGCGCCACTTGCTAAGGCCCAGTCATCATGTGTAGGCACCCAACCTGAGTTGACACAGGGGCTTAGTTCTGGCTGGCAGTCTTGCCAATGATACCTGTGCTCCATGGGTCAGATCCCAGTGAAGCATATAATGTGCATGAACAACAGGGGACCCCAGGGAGGAGACCCAGCAAGTGGCAGCTGCATGGCCTCTTCATGCTAGCAGTATAGCCAGGTAGAGGATGACCTGGAGAGGAGCATGGGGTTAGGGTGCTCAGGGTGTCCAGAAGCTGGGGTGGGGTGGGGCACTCCCATCTCACCCTTAGCTCAGAGCCAGATTTCATCACTGCTCACGCTGGACACTCGATAGATGTAGCTCAGCATTGGGAGGCGGATGAAGCCTGTGGGGTCAAAGATGCCCAGAGGACTCAGTTCTGGATGGTCCTTGGCACTCAGTGGTCATTGGCATAGATTAGGGCTTGACTAAAGAAGAGGAAAATAGCAGGCCCTTCCCCAGTACCTCTGCTGGTGAGGAGGCCACCAGGCTCAGGGTCCAGAAGCTCTGGCCGGCTGCTGTTGCGAGCGATTGGCTGGTCTGCTTGTTTCCCTGTTTAAGAACAAAGGGGGTCGTGCCCAGGATGAGGGGTGTGCTTCATGGAACCTAACCCCTCTTTCAAAGCACTTTTGAAGATAAAGCAGGGTCACTCCCGGATATACCTCTGGAATCTGTAGTGAGGTCATTGAGCTGAAGGTTGGATGGGAGGGACATGTTCTCCCGTGGCAGGCGCACATTGTTGAGTTTCAAGTTGTTGGAATCACTACAGGATATACAAAGGCTGAGACATGTGCTGTTGTCAGCAGCCACTGGCTCCTGCTTTGAGGCCCATTCCAGGCCTCCTAAGAACTCCAGGTCCCCACCAGTCCCCAGCCTATATTTAGGTTCAGCCCATTCAATCCAGTCCCATGAAGAGTTACCTAGAAATCAGAGATGGGCGCCGGGAGGGGCCTGTGGAGAAAGAAACTTCACTGATTCTCAGTGTACTCACCCTTGTTGGGTTCTGCCCTCCTGCCCTTTCACCTCTAATCCTCAGAAAAGTGATTTCAATGCCTAACTTTGGCCCCGAGACCAGAGTGCTCTGCCACTTGCCAGAGATGATCTGTTCTGCCCAGCTCCACCTGCTGGCTGTCCCTGGTGCTCACCCCGCAACCTCCCACCATTCCTCCAGCCACCCTCTGCCACACTGCTCCTACCTTTGGTCTTCTTCTCTTTCCTGCAGACCAGGCAGGCCACCAAGGTACTGAATCCTACTAGGGTGCCCAGGGCAAGCCCTCCAGCCACAACGATGCCCAGCAGTGGCACTTCCACCCGGGTGGCCAGGAGTCCTGCAGGTTGTCCATTGGTTAGATTCCAAATGGGTAGCACCCCCAACCTTGAGACACCATAAACTGAACTACTCTGTCTTCCTTACCCAAGATGGCTGGGACAATTCATTCATAGCACCCACCCAAAGGGCAACAAGTCCTCCCATTTCTGAACCATGATCCTTGCGCCCACCTGAAGCTTTGCTGGGTCAGTTGTTAGCAAAGCTCACCTGGGGCCGGAAGCGAGGCACTGGTGACACCCACATCATTGGTGGCCACCACTGAGAGGTTATGTGCCAGGCTGCGGAGTTGCAGCTGAACAGTATGGTTGGTGAGCCAGGGATAGTTCTGAGCATCCAGCACCAGGAAGTCAGAGGTGTTGACAGTTATTGGCCCATCCTGGTCGATCCAGGTGACATTGGCAGGTGGGTTGGCACGCACCAGGGCAAAGAGGACAACCAGGAGGCCTGGACCTTGAGCTTCCTGGTACTTGGCTCCAACCTGGGCAATCTCCGGTTTAACTAGTGCAAAGCAGAGAACAGTATGCTCTCACCACAGCCCTTCATATTCTGGCCCTTTGCTCTTGAATCCAGATAGGAGCCAGAGGCCTGAACCTCTCTTTAGCCAAGGCACTGAGAATCAGGATGGCCAGGCCTATGCTTGAATCCTGGCCCTGCCTCTTACAACTTTTATAACTGTGGGCAAACTGCTTAACCACTTTGTGCTTCAGTTTTCCCATTTGTAAAATGGTAATACAAATACTAATAATCCCTATAGGATTGCTGTGAGGATAAAGTGAGTTGATATTTGCAAAATGACAAGTGTTTGTTAAAAGTCCTGTGGAACAGCTTCCCCATGGCTGTTGGGGGACCAGGAACCTTTCTTCTTGCCCACCCCAGGGACACTCACATTGCACATTGAGGATGACAGAGGCGTTGGCTGACCGGCCACTGCCTGGGTCCTGTAGGGAGCAATTCAGCTCATGCTGGGCCCGCTGAGCAGTGACAGTAAAGGTGCTAGTGCCTCCAGAGAAGGCCTCCCCGCCCACACTCAGCAGTCTTGAGGTGCTGGCTTCCTGAAGCTGTCCATCCAGGTACCAAGCCAACTGGGGAGTGCCAAGTCCCCCTGACACCCGGCAGGTGAAGGCATGGCGTTCATTCTCCCGAAGTGCCCGTTCAGCCCAGGTCTGACCATCAATTTGTGGCTCCAACTCCCCCCAACCTGGAACACAGCAGGCAGCCTCTGATTTTGTGCTGTGACTAGGATGAAGTTCCCTAGCTGAGGGGCAACAGGCCAAAAAACAGGGCACCTCCTTTCTCTCATTAGGGACTGGCTGGACCTAGGGTGGGTCAGTGGGAGGGGGGCACCTGGCTCTGGAGTGGGTACCCAAATGTTAGATGCAGGCAAGGAGGGGAGGGATGGGGCTCTGATTTCCGGAAGTGCTTGGCCAAGGAATAAACAGGGATGTACCTGAGCTCAGAAGGGTTGGCAGGAGCAGCAGTGTGTGCGGGAGGGTAGCTGGGCCCTGAGGCAGCCCCATGGTGGCCGGGCCTGGGCCCAGGCTGCTGAGAGAAGGGGGCAGGCCTGGTGTCAGCCAGGTAAAAGCAGACAGGCCTAGCAATTCTTTCAGGAATTTACTCTCCCAAACCAAAAAGGCCCATGCACGCAAACATGAATGTAGACTGGCTCTCGGTGGCCAAGGCGGGGCACCTTCAGCAAAGCCCAAAAGCACATACCTGGATATCCTACGAGCGCAGAATCCAGCACAGAACTGCCAGAGACAAACAGCATACATCCGCAAATACAGAGAAGCAAAAATCAAGCGTGCAGCCGTACTATACGTATATGCGCGCGCCACACACACACACACACACACACACACATACATACACACACACACACTGCGTCTACATATGCCCCTCCCCCAAAGGGATCACCCTTCTCCCGACCCAGTCCTCTCCTGCCGCGTTCCCCCTCCCATCTCTCGTCCTATACCCCTTTCCCCATTCCGACTGATTGCTCAAGTGGACTTGGATCCCGGAGGCCGGGATCGCTAAAGCATCCTTCCCCTGCCTCTCAGGCAGCTCACCTGGCTCCCTCCCGAGTGCAGCCAGAGCAACTGCTCAGGTCTGCAGAGCACCGCTGTCTGCTGAGAGGGCGGGGCCTGCGCCAGGCAGAGCCAATCAATGCCCGACCTCGGGCAGGTGGGCGGCCGTCCTTTCACTGCTCGGCACGCGCTCTGGGCCCGTGAGGGGTCCATCTCAGTGCCGGCTCCCCTTACGTGGGCGCGTGGGTAGGACGCAGAAGCAGAAGCAGGTGCAGTGGGTGAGGCTCCGCAGCTTTATTGATTCAGGCCCCCTCCCGTCCCCGGACTGACGAGTTCAGCGCCCGTTGCGGGGACTGCGCAGCTGCCCCATCATGTCGGCCAGCATGCGGTTGCACAGCGCGGCGTACGGGTTGAGCAGCACAAGCTGGCGCCGCGCGAAGGGACTGCCCAGCCGTGCCGCCTGCTCGAAGTCCCTACGGGCGTCGTCGTCTCGGCCCTGCAGCCGCGCCAGGAGCCCTCGCTGCACGAAGCCTTGGCGGGCGGCGCGACCCCGGCCGCCACTCAGCGCCAGGGCGCGGTCCAGGTCCGCCTGGGCACCTGCGGTTGGGTGAGCAGGGGTTATTGGCACGGCCTGGCAGCCTGGCGCGCGAGCCCCCGCCCACCTGCTGTAGCGCGGTTGGGAGAAAAAAACCGGGGATCATCACTGAGGTTGGGCAAATGTCTGAGCTGATTGGAGGGGATTGTTGTTCCTATTACGCAGATGAAGCCTGGAAGGACTGAGAAGACTTGTCCTGGACTGTACCACCACTTAGAGGCAGAGCTGGTACGAAGTTCATGTTTTGCTTTATTATTATTTTCCACCATAGTTACACCGAAACATGAGTGGAGGTCTTTGCTCACCATATTAGTGAATCTGTCCTATTGACTCCGCAAATAGTGGGTCGTTCATTTCACATAAAAGTTACAAAACATTTACTGAGTGTGTCACTTACTCTAAATCCTAGAGTTTAAAAAACGTCATTAGCTGCACAACTGTTTCTTAGGCTTTTCCTTTTGTTGGCTTTTTTTTCCTTCTCTTTTCCATTGCACACTTCAGAACAGCTGCTCCCAGGGTTGGGGATGTAGTTCAGTGGTAGAGTACTTTTCCTAGCATGTTCAAAGCTTTGGTTCTATCCCCAGTACCACAAAACTATTACAACAAAACAGTTTCTTGCTTCTTTATTTCCATGTTTTGATTATCTCTATGATCTTCATTTTTGTACTTAATGTCTTTGGAAGGAGGTCATGGAGCCAGAGCTATCCTGCAGTGTTTTTGTTAATATTCACATAAAATACTTGGATTGAACACTAAAAGGGGGCTATTGGGGAATTCTCCATTGTTCCCAGAATGTAGTCCAAATTCTCAAACCTGGTATTCCTGACCCTAGGAACTCCTCCACCACCACTAGTCCTAAGAATCACTAAGCTCCTTGCTAGGCTTCTGTAGTTTCCACCTTTGCATCAGCCTGACTTCTGGTCCCTAACATGACCCCTTCTGTCCCATTGTTCCCATTCTGGCTGGAGTGACTGAAAGCAGCTGATTTGATCTAGTCGCCACCAACAACCCTCCTACAGTGAAACCCATGTTTTCAAGACTCAGTCCTATGAGGGCTGGTCAGACACTCCCAACCCACTTCCAGCTCCAGACAGCCTGGAGATTTGAAATTCCCCAGAGGGAACCTATGCATGCCTTCAGGGTCCCTACAGACAGTAACCTTTTCTGAAGCCTTCCCACTTGCCCAGCTAACTCCCACAACTCCCACTCATTCTTCAAAACTTTGGTTGGAGAACTGCCAGTAACCTGATTACACATCTGCTGTGCCTGCTGGAGTGAACTCCTGTGGAGCAGTATCATGCAGGGTTAAGAACCCACCAATGGCACAGTGGTACATATCTGTAATCCCAGTGTCTTGGGAGGCAGAGGCAGGAGAATCGTGAGTTCAAAGCCAGCCTCAGCAAAAGCTGGGCACTAAGCAATTCAGTGAGACTCTGTCTCTAAGTAAAATACAAAATAGGGCTGGGGATGTGGCTCAGTGGTTGAGTGCCCCTGAGTTCAGTCCCTGGTACCCACCCCCCCACACACACACACAAAAAGTACCTATCACCTGGATTAAGTCCCAGCTCTGCCACTTCCTGGCTAGGGAATACTGGGTGAGTTAATCTCTGCATGCTTTAGTTTCATTTTGAAAATGGGGATAACAGGGCTAGGACTGTGGCTCAGTGGTAGCACACTTGCCTTGCAAGTGTGAGGCACTGGGTTTGATTCTCAGCACCATATATAAATAAATAAATTAAAGATATATCAACAACTAAGAGAAAAATATAAAAAAAAAAGAAAATGGGGATAACAATAGTACATATCTTACTATAACCTATGTGTGAAATGTTTAATGCCTAGCTGTAATAACTACTCTATAAATGTTAGCTCTTAATAGCACATCTTTTTCTTCTTTTTATAGTACTGGAAATTGAACTGAGGGTCTTCCATATGCTAGGCAAGCACTCTACCACTGAATAATATCCTCAGACGTTTTAAATTTTAATTTTGACACGGGGGCTCTCTAAATTGCAGAGTCTGACCTCGGACTTGTGATCCTTTTACCTCTGCTTACTGAGTAGCTGGGATTACAGGTATACAGCGATGCACAGACCCAAATAGTGCATCTTTATGTTCTCAACACAGCCTAGGATCACACAGTAGGCTCTCATTAAATGTTCCTTAAATTAATGAATGGAATGCAATCTCTTCTTTCACAATGGCCTTGAGATTATAGGGCCCATACCACATTTTTGGCTTTTTAGGTAAGAACACAAGCTCCAGAAGGATTTGATGACTCCTGGTCCTTGTTCCCCCATCAACAACCAATTCATTTGTCTGTGCTCTTCAGGGGCCCCTTCTGCAGAGGCTCCTGGGCATTACCCCTCACCTGCTGTATCTCCCTGGAGCCTCCGGGCCTGGGCACGATTGTTGTAGGCTGAGGCTCTCTCAGGCAGCAGGCAGATGGCTTGGCCAAACCTTTCCAGGGCTGTGCTGAGGTCCCCAGCCTCTGCTGCTATCACTCCCTGAAGCTCTAGGGCCTTTGATTGCTCCAGCTGGGCTCCTGGGAAAACTCCATCTGTGCCAGGGAAGAAGCCAGGTGGGGATACAGGATCGATGTGCAGTTGAGAACAACAAAAAGCCTCTCAGAATTCGGAATCTGGAGACCTGAGCCAGAAATGATTGGGTGTGTGTCACAGCAGGAGTAATTTCAGTGTTTGTGGCAGGTGGAGCTGAGGTTACCAAGTCTGGGAGTAAGCACTGAGTTTCAAAGGGATCTGGGAAAGGGACCTCAGATGGCTACCCGTGGCCAAGAGAATGAAGACCAAACTCCTTTACCTGTAGGTCAGTGACTAGTCATAGTCCCTGAGTTGCAGAGCTTGAATTTGAACCCTGGTTCTTCTGGCTCTTCAGTCTGTCCTCAGCTCTGCTTTACTGCCTCCTACTCAAAGCCTGCCAGGACATTACCAGATGGTGAAAATACTCTATAATTTTTACCATGAAGTTTCAGTAAGGCTTAGGCTTCTTTCTCTAGAAATAAGATCAGTTCTCCACTAGGGACCAGTGAGGATGCACTCCCTCAGCAGAAGAGTTAGCTAGTAAGAACATTTAACAAGTGCTTGTTGGAATCATGAAACTCAACCCCTACCCACGGCCCTACTTCTGCCCTCCATTCCATGGAGTATGACATTGTTATAGCAAAGATTTGAGAGTTTAATATCACTCAAGACTATTAAGCCTGGATATGGAAAGAAGTAAGTGGTAAGTTCAGAGGTGTGAGGGGTAATGGACTTGAGAAACCTTGGCCTTCTTCTCTTGACAAGTTTCTGTTGCCAACCCCACTTCTTGGGACACTAAGGATCAGTCAGCTTCTGATTCGAATCGCAAACCATAATCCAAGGGGTGGAACAAGCAGCCCCACATCATCACTTCCCTCTCTCATCATGGGAAGGGGGGTGGGGGCAGTGGGCCAGCTTATGTGAAGTGTCACACACCAAGGTCAAACTCACCTTCATCTGCTTCTTCCTTCTCCGCTTCCTCTCCCAGGTCAAACCCAAAAACATCTCCAAATGGGGTATCAGGATTGAAGATGGCCTGCAACACAGCCTGATCATTTGGAGTCCCCATGGTGCTCAATGCCTAAGTTCTAAAAGGTGACTCAGGATAAGAGGGAAGAAGGAATGAGGACTGAGCCTCTAGCAGGCAGTTTATATAAAAGGGGAGGCTCTGCCTGGGGACCACCCCCATGAGGAATGTCTCTCTTTCCTTAGCTTTGATGTGTCAGCTCACCCCCCTTGGCCTGGGGTTATCGACCCCTGGCATGGCAGAATATGTATAATTATTTCTCAACTGAACCTAGCCTCCAACACAGAATAAACAAATCTAGTTCCAGCCTTAAGGTGGAGTGGAGCAAAGAGAAAGTGCTGAAATGTTTTTATTTTATTATATTCACAGTATCTTAGAAGTCTTGTTTGACCTCTCCTGGATAAAAGAGGGGGGATAAGTAGAAAGTAAAGAACTATTCCCTTGTCCTCTTGACTCCTTGCTCATATCCAGAATGTTAAATTAGGTCCTGAACATACATCATTGCTAAGGGAATAAAATCCTGCAGTTAGAGAACCAGTGTGTGTGGGACCTGAAGGTGGCTATGGGGAACAATTCAGTGATTCCATCTTAAAACATAGCCCTGTGGAAGGTACTCTGTGATCAGGTCACAGTCCACACCTCTCCCCCTTTCTCCACCCATCAAGGCCAAAAGGAAGTTCAACTATGTGCAGCAATAAACTTGACATGTTTATTAATTAAACTATCACTTAAATAAAAAAAAGTGCATAGAAAATAAACATGTTTAAAAACTCCTTTTTTTTTACAACTATGTACACTTTTTTACTTTTACATTCAGTCTTTCGTAGAGAGCTTTCAGCATTATTATTTTTTGAACTATTAAAGTATTTTCCTTCATCCCTGTCACAGGGAGTTAACACTGATGGACTTTAGACACATTTTCCTTTTTTTTTTTTTTTCTATTATTCTCTAACCAGAAGCTTGGAAGAACACAAGGAAAAAAAAAAAAAAACGAAACAAAACAAAAGATCTGTTATACATGATAAAGTTGTCAAGAAATGTCTTATTTCTAGAAAAGAAGCTTGTCATCTGTTGAGCTCTTGAAACAATTATTCAACTACCTGTATTTACTAAAGAGACTGTTAAAAGTTCAATAAAAGAAACACCACAAGTCTATTTTCTTGGTTGAAAGACAGAACTAGAGTACCTCGGAACAAGATACCAGGAAAGCACAGAACACAATTTTCCCCTAAATGCAGGTGGTAACCCCAACATTCATAACCAAAAATAGAGAAACAAGGAGCACAGGTGCTGACTGGCAACGTTCATGGGCAGGAAAATCCAGGTGACACCATTTCTGCATCGCTCTGATCCTAGGAATGGCCTGTTTTATCGTCCCTTTGTGGTTTGGGGTTCCCCATTAGAGAATCAGAGGAACGCTGGCCTGATGTTTTCCTGCCACTACTAGCAACTGCAACACAATCCTTATCTATAGTGTTAAGAGAATTAAAAGCCATGGACTGAACTAGGCTTTGTTACATGGTGCATTACTATATTAGTTCCTATATATATCATATTTATATTTATTTGAAAACCAAAACAAACAAAAAGGTTGCAAGTTTTTCAGAGTGTGAGACTTGACTGGTATTCATGATTCGGCACAAAACCATCTGCTCAATAACCTTGTATTGCTTTAAATGAAGGAAATGAAACAAAATTACACCCAGCCCTTTGCAATGACCCGCTTTTCCTTAAAAACAAAAGCAACTTAGTTTATATGAAAAAGAATCCCAAATCAAACTTAAAGTTAACATCTGACAAGGTTTTCACCTTTAGTATTTTCAGATATTTGAACAAGTCAGTCCTTTAGAAAGATACATTCATTAAAAGTGTGTGTATGTGTATGTGTGTGTTGTATTTTTTTTTTTTTTTTTTTTTAACTCAAGATGGCTGCATGGCGCTCACTGCATTGGCCGGCGGGCGGGGGGGTGGTAGTGGTGGTGGCGTTGACAGAGGAAAGCAGGGTGGTGGGCTGGGTCCTGGCAAAAGGAGTCTGGATGAAAACATATAGTGCCAGGGCTTCCCCTTAATTCTTGTTACTGGTCTAAAAACAGAAAGAGGGGTTGTGTTGGACATGGTGGGTATCAACAGAGGGAGCCAAGGGACCAGGTTCCGGCCAAAGGGTCAGTGCCATGCAGCTTTTCTGGTTACACAGTTGTTACTGGCCACCAGGAAATGCAGCCACAACAGGTTCTAGCAGCAAAGCGTTGAGTGAGCTGGCTCTCACTGAGAACTGACAAGGTTTGCAGCTGTTATTCCTTAGGGATCTGAGGTGCCCCTTGGGGGATTCTTGGGAATGACCCACCACAATTCCTCAATCTGCATTTCTGTGCGAAAATTCCCTTGGTCACTTTCTAAACAAACTCACGGACATGTTTTGGAGATAGAAATGCCGTTTTGCCTCATTCCCTCCCACAGGGAAACCTTAGCTTATTCTCCAAGTTGCTGGCAGGTATGCTGACATTTTGGCAATGGACTCAAGGCTGAGCTGTTAAGAGGGATTTCTCATTTCTGTGGTTGACGGTTGGGGGTGGAAAGGCAAGGCAAACAATCTGCAGCTGGCAGGAGAAGGAAAGGTGTAGGTTCCTCCCCTGACCTCAGGGTTTGGGATTATAGAAAGAGGAGGAGGAGGGGGCTCACAGTACAGCATGGCCTAGCAGGGCAGTAACTAGGTCTATTTAGCTGAGTTTCCCCCACCCTCAGACTGGCCTTTGGGTCTTTCTCAAGGTGAATTCATGACCCATCAGTGCATTATTCATTTCAGTAACAAATGCAGCTTAAGGTTTTTTTTTTTTTCTTAAAAACAAAACTAGGAATACAAGGATTTACAAAAAAACCTCACACAGTGCAATAATAAAGGAAACCAGACACTAGTGGACCCCCTCGGGCCACTGCATCTTGTTCATGGGCAAAAGGAGGAAGGGAGGTGAGGTCTGGGTAGAGTGCTTTTCCCCAGTCCCCTGCTGGCACTTCTCCACGATGACAAGAAATTCTGCCATCCTGGCCACAGTGCTGGGCTCCCCTGCATGACAGTGGAAATAGTGACAATGTTCCAGCAAAGCCACCAGACAAAGTTCTTAAGGTCACAGAAGGAAAGGGAGCCCAGGATGGAAGGCACAGCAGAGCCATGAGTCCTGGGGCAGAGAGTGCTGGGCTGAGTCGTATTGCTTTGCTAGACTTAACAGAGGAATGGGCTTCTTGTGGCAAGAAAAGGGTGCCCCAGCCTCAACTTGGACTGCACTACTCTGAAATCTTGTGGCAGGGGCAGAGAAAAATCTGCTTTATCGTGAGTGGTCAGACTGTGCTTCAGTTTCAACGGGCTGCCCCAAAAGAGGGCACAAGGGAATCAATGGGTTCTTTGCAGATATGAGGACTTGGTGGGCAGAGGGAAAGGAAAGGAGGTGATCTATGAGGCAGATGGTGATGAAGAATGTCAAGGTGCATTTAACTTGTTAGTTGCTAACTCTGAAGTAGTAAAGATGAGGGAAACGCAAAAGAGCACTGCCTTTCACTACTCTGGGGCCAGTGCCAGAGACAGAGGGACAGTGTGGGAAAGAAGAGAAGAAACTGGTGTGTTAACATACTACAGTAGCCTTTTGAGGAGCTTCAGTGTGGAAGGAGGGGAGTGGCTTAATGGAGCTGGGTGACCTTCCTTCTCCATTATGTCAAAGAGCAGACCCAGGGAACATTACGTCAACAGGGCACAAACAAGCTACACATGGAACAACAAAAAGTACACCTTCCAGGGGGAAGTTGGGCAGGAAAAAAACCAGACTTTGTGTACAGCTGAATATTTTCTCTAACTTCATCCTATGAAAATAAAAAATTATTAAAAACCGATCTTCTTTTAAATTAGGATAATACCGCAGTTTAAAAAATAGCCTTGTCATAAGTGCTTCTCCCTATGAAGTGCTTCTCATAGAAAAATATACAAAATATATTTACATTTATAAAACCTTAAATAGTAAACTGTAAACAGAACAGAGTAAAATCCAATGACTTAATTTAACAGGTTCAGGACTGTCTTGGGGGAAGAAAGAGGAGAAACATTTGATGCTATTTTGACGACATCCTAAGGAGTAATCAGGGCAGTAGTGTCATTTAATTTACTTCATCCATGGATTGCGCACAGGTGGCAGAGGTCCCTCAACACAAGGTGGTCTAGTCCCCAAGTTTTGGGCCTGGAAATATGATTAGTGTTCTGCCATCAATTGGTCGCTGACCATTTAGAAATTAAGTCTTCCTATGTCTTAACATGGGGAAAACAAAGTAACCACGCCCTAGGAATGGGGCCCAGGGGTTGTCCTGGTTGTGACACTCTGGTTGTTGCATGATCAAATCCTATTTAAATAACCTTTATCCTCTTCTAAAAAATCATGCTACATATATTTCTTTAAAACTCTCAGAGGAGCTTTATGAAAACTTCTCCAAATTCTGTCTGGTTATGGCCAATGGCTCCTGTCCACTTCCCCACCTGGAGTGCTTACAGGCTCAGGGAACTTTTTGTAGGCACATCCTACGCCCAACAGGGAGTGTCCTTGAGCAGGGAGTCAATCTCCCCTACCACCCAGAAAGAAATGGAAAGCAGTGGGATGAAGGACAGGGAAAGGGAAGAAAGTAGAGTGAAGAGAAGGAATGGAAGAGGGAAGCCGCTCCTACTGTCAAGAAAGGTAATTGGCTGAGATAAGGCCCACTGGGGTAACACTCCCACTCAAAGCCCACAGGCTCAATGTTTGGTAATTAATTGGCACAACCCCAAGACAGCCTTTTGACACCAGAGATGCTAGGAATCTTGTCTCCCAACTGGAAGTGAACTCTTAAGTGGGAAGATAGTAGGGAAAAATCACCAGACCTTCTCTATTTGTTCAACAGACGGCCACACTTGGGGCCTGATGAGCAAACTATTAGGTATCCAACCAGCCCTGCATCTGGGGTCTTGCCTGACCCCTCACTTATAGTGCTTGGGAAAGGGCCAAGACAAGGATGACAACTTGTTCTCTGAGATGCTCAGGCCTCATCTACCATATAACTAACCCTCTGTAGGCTCCTTCCAGATAAATCTCCTAGGGAACCTGTTTCCCACTTTTAATAGCAAACAGGGGGCCCTAGGAAAAAGCCAATCAAGGATCTTCAAGACCTCCTCTCTTCCCCAGGACTACGATCACATAATGATGTGAATATGGGACATAGGGTGTGATGCCATCACGGAGGCCCCTCAATTGTGCCGGCTCAATCCTGGAGCTCCTAGATGCTGGAAAAGGCCTTAGCATTGCTTTGGATGGCCCTGGGTCCTAGGACTCCAGCACAGGGGGAGGAGAGCAGCTTTAATTTAGGAACTTCCGGCACTTCTTGGCGCCACAGTTGCAGGGCAGCTTGTTGCTCGCATCCTCAATGGGGAACTTATAGTCATAAGTGAGTTCCTCTCCACGGTAGATTTTACGCATGGCAAAGATGACAATGTGCTTCTGCCCATCAATGTTGATGACCCGAGAGTAGCAGTTTGGCTCACATGAGTGATTGATGAAGCGTGCAGCATTTCCATGCATGGTGGCATCTACCACCTCTGAGTCATCAATTCGGAACATGTAGCAACCAATGCCCTATACACACAGGAGAAAGAAGAATTTGTTATTTATTTATTTTGGTGCTAGGATTGAACTCAAAGCTTTGCATACGTTAGGCAAGCACTCTTCCTACTGAGCTACATTCCCCATCCTTTCCTTTATTTTTGCAGTATTGTGAATTGAACCCAGGGGTACTCTATTACTGAGCAACATCCCCCCCCCCCGCCTTTTAATTTTATTTTGAGACACAGTCTAAGTTGCTGATGCTGGCCTGGAACTTGCAATCCTCCTGCCTCAGCCACAGCCACAGCCACTGATGAGCAGGTTTTTTACTAACTTATCCAGATTTCTCTCTGATCATACCCTTCAATACTTCCAGGAGGGGTTCCCAGACTACAGGCACTAGACTAGAGGTTTCTTAATGTCTTCACAGGAAAGATAAACCTAAACTTATGTAGCTATGTACTCTCCCACCCCCAGTACAGGAGATTGAACCCAGGGGTTACTCTACCACTGAGCTACATCCCTGGGACTTTTTATTTTGGGAAGGTCTTGTTAAATTGCCCTAGCTGCCCTCAAACTTGCACTCTTCCTGCTCAGCTTCCTAATTTGCTGAGATTACAGGGGTATGCACTGTGTCACCCTATCTATGTGCTTTTAATCCTGGGATACAATCAGACAAATCTTCAGAGAGAATCTCTGTGTACTAATCCTTAAAGTGGATTCTGAACTTTTATAGGGCCCATTATAAGTTTCAGAGATTTAAAATGCTTTTTAAAAAAGTTTTTGAACTGATAGAATACAGAATTCTTTATGGGACAGTTGATAGTCCCTTCCTACAATAAAAGAAAGAACTAAGAGAGTACTCTGGGAGCCTCACCTTGCTATCATAATACTTCTCCCGCTTGTCAGTCTGGATGGAGCGGATGACGTTGCCAGCATATTCAATGACCATCTCTCCAGCATCTATGTTTCTCTTGCAGAAAAGCCCCCGGCCATGGATGGGAGACCTAGGACAGAAGGTGGAACAAAGAGCAGGCACAGAGCTTCAAGTAAGGTTAAGTGAATGAACAAACCATTGGGAACTCTAGACCTATTAGTTCTGCAGGAAAGACAGACACCT